AATATTTCGGGAAAATATTCTTATATGTTTTGGGATTACGAAATGCACAATGATTTGTAAAAAATAATTTCATTTCATATAAAAAAAGATATTATAAATTGAGAGTACATGAAAAAAGGTTACATTGACAGGCATTACAAAATATTTAAAAAAGGAGTAATCTCTTTAAGAAATATAAAAAAAGCGATTGATATTTATTTTTAAAGACTTAATTTGTGATTTGAACTTAATAAAAGAATCAAATAATTTATAATAAACTGTAAAATATGTTATTTAAGTTTCTGTATGAAATGTCAAAAATCGATCATATTTAATAATTTTTTTTGACAAAGTAATTTAATTTTCGTAAATCAGAATTATTTAAATAATAAGTATTTTAAATACACTTTATTATTATTTAAATACTTTTTTGATTATCAACTGAGAAATATAAAAAAATTTACCTTAAAAATGAACCATTTTTCATTTTATCGGGATTTTGAATGTTTGTAATTTCGTTGGAGAAAACCCGATTTATGCCAAATTTTTTGAGCATGTTGATTGAAGCAATATCTTCCTGATACTAAAATTTCGCGATGAGTTTTGCACTAGTTTTCAAAAGAAATTGATTTAAAAAAATTGTTTATTTTGTAGGTTACAGACAAGTATTATAACTAACTTGAAGTTGGTTTGCTACTTGCAATAAAAGTCAAATTCAAAATAAAACTATTTTTTTAAAGTCAGTTTAAAACAAACCAACTTCAAGTCAGCTATAATACTTGTCATTAACCTTCAAAATAAACAATTTTTTTAAATCAATTTCTTTTGAAAACTAGTGCAAAACCCATCGCGAAATTTTAGTAGCAGGAAGATATTGCTTCAATCTACGTGCTCCAAAAATTTGGCATAAATCGGGTTTTCTCCAACGAAGTTACAAACATTCAAAATCCCGATAAAATGAAGAATGGTTCATTTTTAAGGTAAATTTTTTTATATTTCTCAGTTGATAATCAAAAAAGTATTTAAATAATAATAAAGTGTATTTAAAATACTTATTATTTAAATAATTCTGATTTACGAAAATTAAATTACTTTGTCAAAAAAAATTATTAAATATGATCGATTTTTGACATTTCATACACTGAGAAAACTGGAGTATTGGACTAAACATCTGGAGGGACAAATCGTTCATATTTGAGAGTTAGCTATTGGATAACAATCTAAATGTTCAAATACACCATTGACAGATATTCGTGACATTTCTCTTGGAGGGAAAATGAGTTTCAGGGAGTAAGACTAAGGAGACTGAACTAATGCTATGGAAGTGAAACCATTCGTCGCATTGAAACTATACGTAAGACTGAAAATTATGGTTTTCGCGCATGCGCACATGCAATATATTTGTCTCTGTCTTTCTCAGTAACTCAGATGCGACTGAGAAAATCATTATAAGCTACAAGTTGAGAAGGTTATGTTTAATGTTTGTGAATGTTGTGCGTTTCAGGAAATATTATTAATAATAACTATTAGTAAATTGAAAAAAAAATTAATTTAATAAATATAAATGTGCATACAAAAATATATACTAAAGAGTGTATATTTTTCAGTGATAAGTAATATATTAATAATATAATGAAATATTTATAAATGTTCAGAATCAATTTTTTTGGTATATAACTACAAAGTGTTTTATTCTTTGTGGAAACAATTGAACAATTCCTAAATAAATAATATTTACGAATTTGTAATTTACTTTAATTATATACTTTATGAATAAACAGCTTTAAATGTCACATAAAAGTTATCAATAAGTTAATTTATTCGTTTGTCGATCATTGTAATATGATGTTTTGCATCCTGGTATGCAACAAACCATAATTTTGAAATTTTATTTTAAGAATCATATGTCAAAACATAACCATAACCTATTGATAAGTTTTTGTTCTCTCACTTGCTTATATTTTACGATATAAAGAGAGAGAGAGCAATATGCGCATGTACTGCGCATGCGCGCGGAGCATAAGTTTTGTCATTCTGCGAGTATAGTTCCCCTACAGAAAAAGGTTTCATTTTTGAGAGACTTCACAGTCACACAGTCAGTTCAGTCTCCTTAGTCTTACTCCCTGATGAGTTTATAACAGAGGGACAAATTAACCATCTTGAGAAATCTCTTCCTTATCCGGCGCGAAATGAATAAATATGGCAACCTAACCCCTAAACTAAATACATAAAATGTCAGAAAAATAATATCGCGCGCATCAGATCGTACACATTTTCTGCGCAACTTTTAACCCTCATATATAATGGGAGAGAATATACAAGTAGTCAAGTAGATTTCCATTATCAATTCAAAATTTATTTTAGAAGGACTATTTAACTCTCTTCATAAGCAAAGGAAACATACACTTTTTGAACCTCTGAATTTGACTCTCCAGTTTTCTCAGTGTACAGAAACTTAAATAACATATTTTACAGTTTATTATTAATTATTTGATACTTTTATCAAGTTCAAATCACAAATTAAGTCTTTAAAAATAAATATCAATCGCTTTTTTTATATTTCTTAAAGAGATTACTCCTTTTTTAAATATTTTGTAATGCCTGTCAATGTAACCTTTTTTCATGTACTCTCAATTTATAATATCTTTTTTTATATGAAATGAAATTATTTTTTACAAATCATTGTGCATTTCGTAATCCCAAAACATATAAGAATATTTTCCCGAAATATTGAAATTTTTTATAAAGATCAAAAATACATTAGGCGAAATAAAATGGTTTGACCCACTTACAAAAAATTAAAAGATAATTTGAAACTAAAGAACAAAAACTACCTTTCCGTGTCCTCGGCCGGCACGTGAGAGCATAGCCGTCGTCAGTGGCGGATCCAGAATTTACTCTAGGGAGGGTCATCTTTAAGTCGGTTCTACAATGGGCACGTCGGACGTGGTCGTCTGACTTGCCGTGCTGACGTCACCCATGCTATTCAAATGGGTGACGTCAGCACGGTACGTTAGACGACCACGTCCGACGTGCCCATTGTAGAACCGACTTTAGATGCGGCGAGCGACGACCATAATTAGGTGACTTTTTTTTATGTAAATTTTTCGCCCCAGGGGAGGGGTCATGACCCCCCATGACCCTCCCCCTGGATCCGCCACTGGCCGTCATTGAACCAGAGATCGATGAATCGCGAAAGTCAATTAATAAATTGATTATTCACAATCTTCTTCGACCCCAGGATTCAACCCGCCAATCCCCACTCTAGCCCGATTATCAGAGAACACGGAAATTAACTCGAATTTAGCAAATATACTCGGAACTCGGAACGGTCACATTTTTCAGAAGTCAATGACAATGACAATAATCTCCTACGAGATTATATCGCTTCATTACATAATGTTAAATATAATCATTTATACCTATAAATGATTATTAATTACTACTATTTTATTATTATTATCATTATTATTTTTTTTATTATTATCATTCTTGTTATTACTATATTTATATCTATTATACACTAAAAAAAAATTTAATTGATTCAAATAACCGATTAATTGACTATTATCAATTAAATATTTACTTGAATCAAATAATATTATTTATTGAAGTCAATTAAATGGTATATTTGAACTAATAATTTCAGTATTTTAAGCAAATACCATTTAATTGATAATAGTCAATTAATCGGTTATTTGAATCAAATAAATTTTTTTTTCAGTGTATCTATTACACTGGGTTACAAAAAAATGGTCATGTCGTGTTTATTTAAAATTTACTGTGTTTATTGAAAGTTTAGGTGTCACAGAATAAGAATATACCAGAAAAACTTTTTTTCATTCGGTCATTCCCTTAAAAAACGAGTTTAAAGTCTCAAAAAACCGTATTTTTAGCACTTTTTGAGGCAGCGTAACAAGAAAATGCAACATGATAAAAATCTCTACAAAAGCTTAAATAAAAGCTTAAACCTTCAACTTTAAGGCTCAGAACTAAAAAGTACTTAAATAAGCACTGAAAACCTGCAGTCACTATCTGAAATTATCAAAAAAGCTGGGTTAGGTAGCACTTGGTAAAAATCGATTTCCCTAACCGGATTCGGTTGCAAATTGTTATTTTAGGTTTTTTGAGGTTTCTTATGACGAATTGGAACTTAGATTTAAAAAATTTCAAAGTGGCGGACTCAATTTTTTAAAATTATCAACGCAAATTTTGAAAAATTGAGTGAATTCATTATTTTCAGTCCGCCATTTTGAAATTTTTAAATCTAAGTTCCAATTCGTCATTAGAAACCTCAAAAAACTTCAAGTAACAAGTTGCAACCGAATCCGCTTAAGGAAATCGATTTTTACCAATTGCTTCCTGTTCTAGCTTTTTTGACAATTTCAGGTAGCGACTGCTTGATTAAGGAGGTTTTCATTGATTATTTAAGTACTTTTCAGTTCTGAGCCTCAAAGTTGAAGGTTTAAGCTTTTATTTAAGCTCTTGTAGAGATTTTTATCATGTTGCGTTTTCTTGTTACGCTGCCTCAAAAAGTGCTAAAAATACGGTTTTTGACACTTTAAACTCGTTTTTTTAAGGGAATGACCGAATGAAAAAATGTTTTACTGGTATATTCTTATTCAGTGACACCTAAACTTTCAATAAACACAGGAAACTTTGAATAAACACGATATGACCATTTTTTTGTAACCCAGTGTTATTATTATATTTTTATATCTTATTATTATTAGATATTTTTGTTATTGTTAATATTTTATTAGTATGTATTAGTATTTTTATTATTATTAATTTTTTAATTTTTTTTTTTTTTTTTTTTTTTTTTTTTTTTTTTTTTACAGATAAATAATATAAAATTTCTACTTTTTCTATGACAGAATGTGTTATTTTTTCATTTAAACAAAATAAATTTATTTCTAAAAGAATTTTTGAACATTTCTCACGTATCTGGAATTTAAATTTAAAACTTTTCCCGCCATGAAATTGAAGGCACAGAATCGATTAATCGAATGAAGGAGAGAGTCGTCCTGAACAAACTTCAGAGCTGTTGTGAAAAATGGCGACTTTTGGATAAGTGTGACATTTCCTTGCAAATGTGTCTTAGTTGTTTGTAGTTATTTAATTACTATCAGTAGATTTTAGGAAAATCGGGCTCGTGAACCGAAATGGCAGTGAACACTGACTGTATAAGCAGACGTAATCCCCAGGACGAGTACGAGCTCATCCAAAGAATAGGCAGTGGAACTTACGGAGATGTTTACAAGGTGTTTATCATTATTTCTCACTCTCTTGATAATATAAACAATCTGTCGAGAATTTTTTCACGAAAAAAAATTTACCAAATTTTTGTAGGCCAAGAGGCTGTCGATGAATGATCTTGCGGCTATTAAGGTTATCAAATTGGAGCCAGGTCAGTTTTATAAATTTAATTTCTTTTCATCAATTGTACAGAGTTTTTTTTAATGATACTTTCTACTCAACAAGTTTTATTTATTCCGTTTTTAAGTTTATGTCTCTTTTTTTAATTACCCACAACAAGACTATAAATATTTTAAAGAAGAATTCCATTTGAATGAGATACTAGATCATTATCTGTGTTATTTTTTGGTTTTGTAATTGGCTTCTTGAGATTTAATTTATTGTTGGCTGGTCATCATTTCATTTCCTGGATCGTCATTACAATTGCACTTTTTTACAAATATAATTCATCACATTGAAAACATCCTTAAATGTATGTAAATTTTTTTCTTCTTAAATAATTGACAATGTGAATTTTTATCAGGACGAAATATTTATTATTAAAATTAATAAAATTCGTCAAAATTGTACTTGAAATTGTCTTTAACCTACTTTCAAGATAATGTCAATCAAACGAATTTTTTCACAATTAATCATTTCTTAAGTTCTTTTATTATGCAATAACTTAAAGATAATTTTCAAGTTATATTATTAATAGTTTTATTTTTCTCGGAAAATTATTTCTGAAGTAATAAAGAATAAGTATAATATTTACGAAGGAATTCGAAAAATTAAAGATTGAATAAATGTTTCAGGAGATGATTTTGCGGTTATTCAACAAGAAATATTAATGATGAAGGATTGTAGACATCAAAATATAATAGCATATTATGGAAGTTATCTACGACGAGATAAGCTTTGGATTTGCATGGAATATTGTGGAGGAGGTTCTCTTCAAGATATTTATCACAGTAAGAAAGATAATATTATAGTTGACATTGAAATTTCTCTGAATTGTAATCTTGACACTTTTCTTCTTTAGTTACAGGCCCTCTGTCGGAAATACAAATTGCTTACATGTGTCGTGAAACACTTCTCGGTTTGGCATACTTGCACAATATGGGAAAAATGCATCGTGATATTAAAGGTGCCAATATTTTACTAACCGAAGCTGGTGATGTAAAATTGGCTGATTTCGGTGTCTCAGCACAAATCACAGCAACTATTAACAAAAGAAAAAGTTTTATTGGTACCCCTTATTGGATGGCCCCAGAGGTACTTGTTTTTAATTTACAATTGGGAAAAATTTTTTGATAAAATTATTTGAATACTTTTTTTATAATAACGAATTGTAAACAACTTTATTTATTCAACAGGTTGCCGCTGTTGAAAGAAAAGGTGGTTACAATCAATTATGTGACATTTGGGCTTCTGGAATAACAGCCATAGAACTCGCCGAATTACAACCACCAATGTTTGATCTTCATCCAATGCGGGCTCTTTTTCTTATGTCGAAATCTGGTTTTAAACCTCCAACACTTAAAGATCGTGATAAATGGAGTCCAACTTTTCACAATTTTGTTAAAGTAGCTCTCACGAAAAATCCTAAGAAAAGACCTACTGCTGAAAAGTTATTGCAGGTATATTAATTTTAAATCCTACTTTTTAAGTTTACTTGAAAGTAGACCTTATTTACCAAATATTTTATTTTTATTTCCATTTTAGTATTATTTGTGTCAATGGTAAATTTAATAATTTAAATAATTTTTATTTCAGCATGCATTTTTTCAAGGAGAAATGAGTAAACGATTAGCACTAGAGTTACTGCAAAAAGTTTCCAACCCTAGCCACATGTTCACCGATCTAGAAGCAGACGAAGACGGTGCAGTACCTAATGTTCCTCAGCGAATTGCTTCGAGACACACGGCTAGATCTCGACCAAAAAGCCCAATTTCCCAGCTAGACTGTGATGGTGAATATTACTTTTTATTTTTATCGTATCACTGATTTTACTAACATTAATTTTAAATAGGGTCAGGGAATTTTATCAAAATTCTGCATTTTGGTGTTCAGTAAGCATCGAAAATATTTTTGAATATTTCATTCTTCTTGGATTTTCTTTTGTCTTATAAATTTTGTAATCACTGTGAATTTTAATATAAAATCTCAAATTCTTTTTATTTCTGTCAATAATTAAATTTTACAGAATATGAAATTTAATTTATAATATATTTTATTTAATTTAATATATTGTATTAAAAAACCTATATTTCAAATATTTATTTTAAATTAAAATACCAAAAGTAATTTAATTTTATAGTACAATTAGTAAATTTTAAAAATTTTAGTACAATTTTTATAAATAATTGAATTTCAAAACGTTTGAAATTAAATTTTCAGGAAATTTGAATTTAATAATTTTACTTAATAATTCCAAAAACAGTTTAATTTTAGTATAATTGCGTTTACAATAATTTTTATGAATAAATTAATTTCACAATATTTCAAATTAAAGATTTAAAAAAATTGAATTTTACAAAATAACTTTGATTAATTTTTTTATAAATTAGTTGAATTTTTAAATACACATTTAATTGAAAAATTTCCGAATAATTGAAATTTCATAAAATTGAATAGCAAACAATATTTTACAGATATCTGAAATATTTTAAGTGAAGTTTCTTTTGAAATAAATAAAAATAATTTTTCTAGAAAATAATTGAATTTAAATCTTGTAAATAATTTTGCAAAAATTACAGTAGCAATCGATTTATAATCGAATTCAATTCAAGAGGTTTTGAAAATTTTAATTTCTGTGTAGAAATAATAATAATGATTAAATTATTTATAAAAAAAATATGTTGATGTTTCGAATAATTCTACAATTCAGGATATTCATAAATAAATGTATCAGAAATAGTTTTTTGTGCAAATAATTATTTTTAGACTCAGACTATTCTTAAGGATGAGGGAAAAAGTCAAAATTCTGACTGGAAATCAGAGAAATCAAAGTCAAAATTTTTCTGGCTTAGTTATAATAGATTTTCAATCAAATTTGCATTTATTGGTGCAGTTACCATATTAAAAAAATTAAAGTTTTAAAAAATATTTCAGTAGATGATTATCGAATTTCATTAGAAATAAATCTTGTATGAAATTTGAATTCTTTTTTTTCGCAGATCAAATAAATTTAGATGGTGAGACTTTACAAAGAGAATCAATACCTTCTTCGGTAGATACAAGTCCTGCGTGGAATATTATGGATATTATGAATAATGTAAAGGTAATTTTTCTATAATTGTAAATATTTATTGATCATTAGACCACAAAATTTTCAAAACAACTTTTTAATTTTTTTTCTTATAGACTGTACACAATTGTGATGTTCATCCCGACTGTGGTATTGGAACTGCATTCGAAGACGTACCGGAAAAGTAAGTACTTTTTAAATAGTTTCGACCCTTATTTTGTTAAAGGTTGCTTGTACATTTTCATTAATGTAGTGATTGCTGCTTTGTATATATAATTTTCAATTAGCGATTTTTTTATATAGATTGGATTGGAATTCATTGATTAGTAATTGTTAGTAATTTTGAATTTTAAATGAATTTGGAAATTGCGAACACTTTATTAATAATATAAATTTAATATTTCAATTGAATATTTCAATTTAATTTTTCAATTTAATATTTATTTACAATATAAATAAATATATTGTCAGGGTGTCTAGCGAACCGGGAAATCGGGAAAAACCGGGAAAAACCCGGGAATTTGATTCGACCTCAAAAAACCGGGAAAAACCCGGGAATTTTCTATTTATAGGGTATTTTTTGAATTATGACATACAAAAAATTAAAAATTTTTTCAAAGCGTAATATAATAACACGGTCACAACTCAAATCGTCAAGGGTAAATTGATAGTATGAAGCAGTAGTAAAAATAATAACTTAAATTTTATTTAAAACTAACTTTAGTACACGTTATATTATAAAAGTTAAAGGATTTGTACTATTATTATTTTTATATAACAATTTATAGGTATATAATACGTAACAAATTTTATAAGAAGAAATTAAGAATCTTCTGTGATATAGGAAAGGCAAAGATTTTACTTTTTAAAACTAAATATGGGGCATTCCATTTCAAAACGATCCTCCTTATAAACAATTGACATTGTAAGGCAATTTTTAAATCATTATTTCTTATATTTACACGGAGAGAAGGGCGTAGTAGATTCTGACATGGCAGTTAAATCTACTAAACAGAATCGTTAGGTTTGGACTGACGGTACAGACAGTGCCATCTACTGCACTGTTTAGTAAGATAGTAAGATACACTGAGCAAACAGTATATTCTACTAAACAGAGAGGTGTCGTAGTGTATTATACTAAACATACAGTTGGCGCCACTAACCGTTGCACTAAATGATTTACTAAACGCGTTCTGTCACATTTACTGCAACTCTTCTCTCCGTGTATTGAAGCCAAACTTTATTTACTATTAGTGGTTTTAAAACAAAAATTTCTCAACTTTATAATGGTAGAAAATTTTTTTTTAAATAATAGAATTTATGAAAAAAATTAAGTTTGAAAGATAACCTTTTTGAATATCTCAAAACACGTCGCATCCGATTTTTTTAAAACTTATGTCAAAATAAAGCTTAAATATTCTAGTTTAATTCTATGTAAACATTATAATGAGCAATTCAATGTTTGAGAAATTAATTAAATTTTACAAGTATTTCAAAGGGTATAATGTATGTACCGAGCGGAATTTTTTTTTCAAATTTTTCCACACTTCAACCTCTAACATCTTTGTAAAATTTAACAAATTTCTTAAATTCCCCTGAATTGACAATTATATTATAAAGTTGAGAAATTTTTATAAGGGAAATTTTGATATTCTATGTCAAGTTTTTAGAAATTATTGTATAACTTTAATCATTGTAATTTAATAAAACAACATTTAATTACGTAAATAATGTTATTGATAAACATTTAATTAATTATGTTTTTAAATCCTTTGTGAATATCCGGGAAAATTATTCAAGAACCCGGGAAAAAACCGGGAAAAACCCGGGAATTTTAAATTGACGAATCGCTAGACACCCTGATTGTAAATATATTATAAATACATTTATAAATATTTCAATTTTTAAAATTAAAAATTGAATTTGTCGTCAAAGCAGCAATTTGGGTCATTTTCATAAATGCAGAAATTATTCGTCACATTTTGATTTAAGTCTATAAATTAATTTTTTTTTTTTTTGGTGAATTGTGCATTTTCTTTTTGCTTTTTTCTGCATCGATTGCAAAATTGAAATAATAAAACAACAACAATGATCTTTTGGAAAATAGTTTGCATCTAAGTATAGTATTTGGTATTTTTTTTTAATTTTTCCATCCGGGAACGCTTCAATATATAAAAGGACTTTGTACTAAGGTTGAAAATACAATGATTTACTTCTTCATTAGTAATCGCGGCAGAGACTGTAGAATCTTCCGTCGAAGCAAAACTGGTACCGAGATATTTCATATGAGCCTCAGGTAATATCGATAATATCTCGTTTGGTGTGAAATATTTTTTGACAAATTCAAAATGTTAACGTGACGAGAAAATTTCCTAACTAAATTTTTACACTAATTAAAAATGCCGGTTATATTTTGTTTTCTCTTTTTGAGAATAATTTAACATTTTTTTCACTAAAATTTTCAAGTGTTTATTAATAGGGTAGGAAAAATATTTGGTTACGAATTGAATATATTAAGGCTCGGTTTGTAAAAGAGGGAATTTTTTTTTTGAAAATGAAACGTCGAATCATTACTTCCAATTATATAATAATATAAGCATGGTAGCTTTTTAAATATTAAATTTAGCATGTTGAGCATGAATGAGATCATGATCTATAAGTAGCGTAAGTAGTACCGTAAGTACTTTAATTAATTTCGATTATTAAATTTTATAATTTCATAATTTTTATTTTTAAAGACTGAATATTCTGAATATTCCTTTTTTTTAATTCTTTCAATCTTTGAGATTAATAAAATTAAAAAATATTCTTTACTTAAAATGAAATGTTCTTTAAACAGTTATTTTCAGTTTCTTTGAAAATCTTAAGTGCAAATCTGATAACTTATTTTAAACTAATTATCATTTACCGTAACTTTTTAATTTCGGAAGCTTCCGTAGAATTAATTTTTTTCTAATCAGTTTGTAATTTTATTAATTTCTCCCTACAGGAGTCTTTTGCAGTACATTGATGAGGAGTTATTGCTAAGGTATTGGCAGGTAACCTTTTCCCTTGCACCTTGCGCTTATGCTTTCTAATGCCGAATGCGTTTTATATTTAGCTTGAAATATTACTAAATTATTTTCTACGCGAATGGCTTTTTGGATGGATTTTTTAAACCGTGTTTTTTTCTACAAAGTACTTCGATTAATTCTATTTAACAAGTGTTTTTAACTTAAATTTAACTCTCTCTAACATTATTAATAGTTCGGAAATTCTTTGTTTAATTTTTCTTGATTCAAATTTATTAACAAAAATATGACATGATTATTGGAATTTAGTTGTTTTGTAAACATTCGTTTTTGTGTTAAAATTTAATTAGCTTAAAAAGTTAGCTTTTTATTTTAAAAAATGCTTTTTGCTTCAGCTCTAAGCTTATTCCCACGCTATTGATACTGATTTTAAAATTAAAAATATAAATAATTGCGTAATATTCACAAAAACTAAACTTCATGTGTCATAAAATCTATATAAAGATATTCTTCTTAAATTTATTTTCTATAAATGGTTGAAAGAAATTTAATTTTTCAAATGAAAAATCTGTCCTTTTTTCTGGAAGAAATGTGGAGGGCTTTTCTTTACGTATCAATTTTCTGTTTAATATCTAAAAACTGAATCCAAATCGGTAACTAATTGTTTTTTCATTAACTATGTAATTAATAATAATAATTTACTAGCAGTAAATGACAATTTTTAAACAACACAAATTTTCAATAGTTGAATATTTGTAAATGTGTTTGTTTAATTGTTTTCAATGGTTGGAAAATTGGTCGAAAACTTCCAATTTTTATTTGTTTATAAATTTAACGTCAATCTTGCCATTTTTGGATTCAAATTTCAGATTATTTTCATTATTCATCAATTCTTAAAATTTAAATGTTAGCTGAATGATAATTATTTTTGAAAATTAATTTCTATTTAATAATCGAACCGCCGGCTAACTATAAATTTTAATTTTTAAGAAAATTAAAAATTTATAATAAAAAAATTGAAATTTTTAGTTAGCCATTGGCTAACGAAAATAATGGTGTTTTACACGTGAGTTTTTTTAGTCGCCTGCGGTTAAATTTTGTAAAAATTGTTATTAATTCGAGAGCATATTTTTTTAAGAATTAATTATTATTTCTCCATGAGTAGATTAATTGTAAAGATTAATGTAATTCCGAAATTTATCCATGTAATATCGGTTTCATGTGTGCAGGGGAAACGCAATGTCGATGGCTGGTGGCCATTGCGACCAGCTATACTCCCTGCAGTAAGTAAAAATGTCGAAACCTCCAAAAGAATTTTAAAATGACCTAATTATTTAATGCAACACTTTTCTATTCTTTATGAAACTTTATTCTTCTTTTATTACTCAGTACAAATTTCTTTTGATTTTCTTTTGTCTATTTTACATCACTTTTTATTTCTATAATCCAAAAAATGCATTTTTTTCTGTAACTATACATTTGTGAATTATAATCATATATTTTACACATGAATCGCATTATGTAAATAATTTTTTTAATGGCTTTTAAGGAATTTTAACTAATTAACATAGTTCAGCTTTTTTTGACATAAACACGAATTATTTTTTTGAACATTTTTCATTATTATTCATTTTTTCGCAAGCTATTGTCCAATTGTGATTTGTGATTAACAAATTTAAAATCTGCTTTATATTGTCTAATGTATTTTATTTTTTTAATTTTATCTATTGACAAAAAAAAGGATTTTCTTTTTAATTTTTGTTTTGAAATCTGAAAGTCTTTATTGGTTGAATTGGAAACTGTGGCTGGAAAAATTTATTTTGTACGAAAAACAAATAAACGAATAGAAAATATAAAGGGATAGAATAAAGCAGATCTTTGTTAATTTAAAGAAGAATGAATTTATGTGCAGAAAAAGTAATTTCTTTTTTAATATTTCAGAGCTACATTGCCGCTTGGTGAGTCATCAAATGATTGCGAGGTACATCGTGGCTTTTACGGTAACATACCTGGTAAGCAAAAGATTTTTATTATTTAACATCACGTGTGAGTGAATGGTAAAATATTAAGTAAAGAGAAAAGTAGATATCACACAAATTGTGTACATGTTTCTTAAAAAATGAATTCATAAAAATTTTTTGGCTCTAATAATTTTTACGAAAATTTGCTTCTGTTATATTGTTCAATTTTATTTTGTTTTTTATTACTAAAATTAAACTCTTTAAAAATAATTGAATTCTTGCGAAGAATTTTCTTGGAATTTTTTTAAATAATCGAATTTCCGTAAAAATTGCATTATTTATGAAAAAATAATTGAATTCCAGCAAAGAATTATAGTTATGAAAATACTTGAATTTTTGCGAAGAGTTCTCTCAAAACTTTGAAAAACAATTGAATTTCCAAGTACTTCCGAATAAGGGGGACCATAAAAAACCATAAAATTGTGGTTTTTTGCGTATAATTCGGAAAAAACAAAAAATTTTGAAAAACCGTTTAAACAAAAGTTATAGATCTCACCAAAATACACATTTTATGTTCTTATCATTATTTGCTAAAATCCATTATTTTCCGAGAAAAATGTAAAAAACCATAAAATACCATAAAAACGGGTTAAAATATACTTTTGCTCAAAAGAACAGCCAATTTTAACAAAATACAGTTTCTTTACGTATTTTGATACTCTGATCACGAAAATCATACTGACAATTGGTGCAAATTTAATTATTATGGTAAAAACCATAAAAAACCCATAAAATAACCATAAAATTGTGGTTTGTTGCGTATAATTCGTAAAAAACGAAAAATTTTAAAAAACTTTTTAAGCAAAAGTTATAGATCTCATCAAAATACACATTTTATGTTCTTACACGGAAAAAAATTAATCTCTAAACTTGAAATAATATTAATTTGAAGTCCAATGAAATATAAATGTATCTAAATTAAACATTATAGTCACAATTACTGTGATAAGTTGTGTTTGATTCTGTCAAACTTTATACCAGAAAACGCCATAAATTCACATCTCTGATTTAGAGATTTGTTAATTTCACAACTTTTTTTATATGAATTAGGTACATTGTGTTTTAAGTTAATCAGTGACAAAAAAGATTTAAACCATTTTAATTAATTAAGTATTAATTTTATTTTCAAATATCCAAATAAAAGCGAAGGTCTGTGAAGGAAGGTGTGTAAAATTTGTAGGTTACAATTATCGCCCGACAAAATACGGCACTGACTGATTTAAATGACGTGAAATAGGTAAATAAACATTTTTCAACCACTTTTTCTCTAAACACAGACACTTTTTACAAAATAGGCCAACATACAATGGGTAAGAATCTTCTTAATTACCTAAATTCAAAAGATGGTTTAAATTCATGCAGAAATGTCAAGCGTCAAGCGTCAAGCGGTTGTAAAATGTAAAATTGGAAATGATTGGAAAGTAATGTAATGACAGACAACAAGAAGCGGATTACTGCCAGTCGCCAGAAGAGGGCAGAAGCATGCAGAGAGCACAATGGTCCAGCTGTTATATTCTTAGCATTACATCACTTTCCAATTTTACATTTTACAACCGCGTTTCTGCATGAATTTAAACCATCTTTTGAATTTAGGTAATTAAGAAGATTCCTACTCGTTGTATGTTGGCCTATTTTGTAAAAAGTGTCTGTGTTTAGAAAAAAAGTGGTTGAAAAATGTTTATTTACCTATTTCACGTCATTTAAATCAGTCAGTGTCGTATTTTGTCGGGCGATAATTGTAACCTACAAATTTTACAGACCTTCCAACGCCGTTAAAACAAAAAAATGAAATAAAAATATAAAATTCGTATTGTGTTTTAAAAATATCCAACTACTTTTTTATACTTGTCAATGTATAGTTCATACAGGGAAAACAATATAAATATTTTGTGAATAATTCTCACTCTAAATTGTGATAAATTATAAATTCTTATTACATCGAGTTATTACAAAAATAAGAATTATATAAATATACGACTAAAATTTTTAATATTGTTTATTCAAATAATATATTAGATTTGAATTTATTCAAGTAAGTTGATAGTTTAGAACATATGTTCCATATGTCATAAAATTTGAGATTCCTAATATCATTTTTAGGCATAAGAAATACGTGTTCTTCACAATACTAATATTCGGATTAGATATAATACCAAATTTCAGTTTTAGTGATCTGCTTACATCTTACGTCCGATTCCAGTGATAGTTTATGCCTAAATCTCAGATTTAATCTCTAATTTAGAGATTAATTTTTTTCCGTGTATTATTATTTGCTAAAATCTATTATTTTCCGAGAAAAATGTAAGAAAACCATAAAATACCATAAAAACGGGAAATCTAAGACTTCGCCCGCCACAGCTTAAGTAGTCTCGCTCTGTGCATATATAAAGGGAGTCAAATTTACTTCCTAGTTGGTACTAGAAGGTAGACAACCCAGACCAGACCCCCCTACAACGTGTTCCCCCCACGTGTCCTTTTTTTAAGGGCCCAAGGGGGGAACAGTTGGGAGGCGGGCGAAGCCCGCCTCAGGTCGTGTACCCTTGCTCTGTGCATACAGAAAGAGAGTCAAATTTACTTCCTAGTTGGTACTAGTAGGTACACAACCCAGACCCGAGCCCCCTACAACGTGTCCATTTTTTTAGATTTCGTATTCCACCTTTTAGATTCCGTATTCCACTTTTTCAGATTTGATTTTCCACTTTTTCACAGTCCGTATTCTATCTTTCAGGTTCCGCATTTGGTATTCCACTTTTCATTTTATTAATCGGCCTTTTTCAAGGCCACTAAACCGTTGCAATTTGTAACATTTTATCAATCGGCCTTTTTTTGTTAAAATTATTTTTCAAAATTTTGCTTTTTTTACGATTTATACACAAAAACCACAATTTTATGGTTTTTATAATGGTTTTTACCATGAACATTGCATTTGAGAAAATTTTCATTATTATGTTTGTGATCAGCGCATCAAAATACGTAAAGAAACTGTATTTTGTTAAAATTGGCTGTTCTTTTGAGCAAAATTATATTTTAACCCGTTTTTATGGTATTTTATGGTTTTCTGCATTTTTCTCGGAAAATAATGGATTTTAGCAAATAATGATAAGAAAATAAAATGTGTATTTTGGTGAGATCTATAACTTTTGGTTAAAAAGTTTTTCAAAATTTTTTGTTTTTTACGAATTATACGCAAAAAACCACAATTTTATGGTTTTTTTATGGTTTTCACCATAAAGATGAAATTTGCGCCAAATTTCATTATCATTTTCGTAATCAGCGCATCAAAATACCTTGGTATACCAATTTTTATTGAAATCAGAGGTCCCCCTTATTCGGAAGTATATCCCAAAATAATTTTGCAATTAAATTATTTTCGAGAATTTAAATAAATTCTTCGCAAAAATCCAATTATTTTTTAAAAATAATAAAACTAATTGCAACTTTAATTATTTTTAATACAATTTTTAAGTGAATTCTTCTAAATAATTCAATTTTTGATTCCAAAATATTAATAAAATTCAATTATTTAAAATTTCCATACAATTTTTATAAAATTGTTTTGATATACTCATTCGGAAGTACACCCTTATTTTGATTCAATAGGATTATTTTCAATGCAATTTAAATTTAATTATACGAAACAATTCAATTATTTTAAAAAGATTTTTGCGCGAAGATTCCTCTTAAATCTTTGGAAAACAATTGAATTTACAAGAAGAATTTTATAAAAATTGTATAAAAATTGTATAAAAATTGTAAATAATTGAATTTTTACAAGAAGAGTTTTATCAATATTTTGAAAAAAAATTGAATTATTTAGAAGAATCCACTTAAAAAATGTATTAAAAAAATAATTAAAATTGCAAATAGTTTTATTATTTATAAAAAATAAAATTCTTGCGAAGATTTTATTAAAATTCTCGAAAATAATTTAATTGAAAAATTATTTTGATTCAATTAGATTATTTTTAATACAATATTTAAATTTATTTATTCGAAAAAATTCAATTATTTTCAAAAATTTCGATAAAATAATTCTTTATAAGAATTCATTTACTTTCAATATAATTCCAAGTAAATCCCTGGAATTAATTGTAATTTTCTTCGAAATTAATTAAATAATTTTCAAAAATTTTAATAAAATTCTTGAAGATAATTCAAATATTTTCATAGATCAGAAAATTCTTCTCAGGAATTGAAATATTCTTAATAAAATTTCTTGATTGCATTCAATTATTTTTAGAAAAATAAATTTTCTCGAAAAAATTAATTTATTATGCTGTTATTTTGTTTGGATTTATAATTTTGGAAAAATATATTATGGGGAAAAATATATCACACTAGAATTAATTTATTTTCACAAATTTTGAAAAAATTCTTAAATGAACTCAATTTTTTTTAAAACTTACTTATTAAATTATTGTATTGTATTGATACATTTTTACAGTTGTGATTTAATTTTTAAATCAAGTTTATTAGACTACTCGTAACGATTAAAATATAGAGATGTAAGTTAATGTAAACATTCATGTACGTAGATTAAAAAAATTAGTATTTCATGTTTTGTAGATAAATAAATTCGAGATAGCATGAAACAAACTTTAATATTTTCTTTTTTTATTAAAATTTTTCAATTCAAGAGGAGAGAATTTAAATACACATTTTAATTGTTTCAGTAAAGTTCTTTCTGCATGACTCATTATAAGAATTATTTTAATCAAGAAGTCATTCTGCTTTTACATAAAATGCAAATAGAATTCCCATCAAGTCTCAATAATAAAAAAAAATTTTTTTTTTTTTTCAATTAGAGAATTAATAATGAAAGAATTGATAATTGAAGAATTAATTAATAATTGAGGACAAGAATGATTAATATTGTAGTTTAATACGAGTAATTTGAAGCATTAAGGGATGAGGTGCTTTTGTGTTTGATGATATTTGAGAAGCCTTTTTGTATTGACTATATTAAAGTAAGCAGGCACTAGTGTAAAAAGTAGGTTGGGTGCTTACTTGCTTAGGGTCGCAAGCAAGTCCCAGGCGTCACAGCTCTGTGGACGAGTTGTATAACCTGGTGAGCAGTTCCTTGTCGTTAGCAGCAATCAATGGACAACGCCAGCGTTCCCTCTCGGACAGTGGGTCGAGAGAGTCTAAGGGTAGGAGCACGCATCATGAATTCAGAGCATGCTCGCATATTTTTCCCAAAGACGTGCTTCCCTTTCGCTAACATTAACTCTGAATTGTCAACTTCCTTCTGAAAATAACCATTCTCAATCCTCGACTTAAGCTTCATCATTAATTTGACTAAAACATCCGTTCGAGAACTCACATACAGCAACAAGCAGAAATTTCTTTTTAATACCGATTTATTTTCCACTCTTCTCATTTTGCTTTCATTGCTAGAATATCTAGTCTAAAATAATTATAAAATTTAGTCACTATTTTGCTTGTTACTTGAAATTCAGAAGCGGTGGTATTTATCTAGGAATAATACTTTCAACTCCTTAATATTTTCGAAAGTAATTTGCTTCTTTTTAAATAAAATAATTTAAAGTAATAAATAAAATAAAATAATGATTTTCTTAAAAGAGGAATTAATTTTTGTAGGTGATGGCGAAATTCCTGACAATGGAGATGGGGAAAGTATCAGTCCTGATTTATTGTCCGACACTCCGCCAGTTCCTCCTAGACGAAGGGATAGAAAAAGACATACTCCACCTAGACCAATTAGTAATGGACTTCCGCCGACGCCGAAGGTTCACATGGGAGCGTGCTTCTCAAAAGTATTTAATGGTTGTCCATTGAGAATACACTGTACAGCGAGTTGGATACATCCTGATACACGAGATCAACATTTATTAATAGCAGCCGAGGAAGGAATTTATAATTTAAATCTCAATGAACTTCACGATGCAGCGATAGATCAACTCTATCCGAGGAGAACGATTTGGATGTACGTTATTAAGGACGTACTCGTGTCACTCTCAGGTAAATAAAAACAAATAAATCAAATCAATTAAAAGAAATAAATTAAATAAATTAAGTCAAATAAAGTAAATTAATTAAAATTCATTTTTTTTTTATTTAAAGGAAAGACGCCTCAGCTCTATAGACACGATCTTTTAGCAATGCAAAGCAAACAGACTCATAGGTTTTCATTGCATATGAATAAAATACCGGAGAGATTAGTACCAAGAAAATTTGCTCTTACGACAAAAGTCCCGGACACAAAGGGCTGCACAAAATGTTGTGTGGGAAGAAATCCCTACAATGGGTAAGAAGTGAATTTATCATTTATCAGGTTTGCCGCAAGGAATTCAGGGAAAAGTCAGGGATTTTTATTAAAGTAATGGAAAAAATTGAATTTTGGAGAAGCTACAAATGATTGCAGAAACTCAATTATTTTCAGAAGTAATAAAATTCTTCGCTAAAATTCAATTATTTTCAAGAATTTTAATAAAATTCTTGGCAAAATTTCAATTATTTTAAGAAATTTTCCTCAGTTCAATGATTTTCAATATCTACTATTTTAATAAAATTTTTCAAAAGAATTTAATTATTATGTCTTAGCAGACATTAAATTATTTTCATAAATAATAAAAATCCCACAGGAATTCAACTATTTACAAATTTTTTTTATAAATTTCTTCACAATAATTCAATGATTTTCATAAATAATAAAATATTTTACAGAGATTCAATTATTTTCATGAATAATAAAACTCATAATAGAATTTCAATTATTTTTTGAAGTAGACATTTCGATCTATCGAAGGAATAAATATTAACATAGTGGTTTTATGTCATATTTTTTATTGTTATCAATAATTCAAATTTAAGTAATTCAATTATTTTTAATACAATTTTAATAGAATCTTAGAAAAATGTAATTATTCTTAAAAATTTTATTAAAATTGGTCGAAAAAATTCAATTATTTAAAAATTTGTTGATGAAGAAAAAAATTTGTTATGAGAATTTAATTTTGAAAAACATTCAATTACTAACTAAATTATTTATTTTTGTATTTAAATAATTGAATTCTCGTAGAATTTTCTAATAAAAATTGATTTAAATATGAATTTCAATTAAAATTTTAAATAATTGAATTTTGAAAAGATTTAAAATTGAAATCTATGAAAATTTGAATTTTTCATACTTTTAATTGACAATTTAGTAGAATTAATTTTTTTGAAAAAGTTTTATTGAATTTTTAAAAAAAATTATTTCAATGTTTTTTTTCTAAATATTTAGTTAAAGAATTTCCGAATAATCGAAATTTCGTAAAATTGAATTTAAACAAATGGATTTGAAAATTCTCAAGGAACTTTTGCTAAAATTATTAAAAATAATTGATAATTGTTTTCTTTTGAAGAATTTTCTTAAAATTGTTTTAAAAATCCTGTGATGAATTTTATTATTTAGGAACATAATTTAATTCTTGCAACGAATTTTTGTTAAATTTTTTTTAAATAATTGAAATCCTGTGAATACTTTGATTATTTATGAAAATAATTGAATTCTTGCAACGAATTTGGTTCCTTTTTTTAATTGATTGAATTCTTTTGAGAAATTTTATTAAAAATAGTAGATTTTAAAAATATTTAAATTTCAGCGAAGAATTTCATTATTTGTGAAATGTAATTATTGAATTCTTGCAAAAATTTTATTTTAAATTTTGGTAAATAATTGAAATCCTGTGAAGAATTTTATTATTTATGAAAATAATTGAATTCTTATGAAAATTTTATTATTTTATTATTATTATTTGAAATTTTTTGGAAATCCTAATTCCTATGGAATAATAATGATTAAATATTTATTTAAAAAAGAATTTAAGTTTGATGTTTTCGAATAATTTTTCAATTAAAGAAAATTCGTAAATGTAATAGAACATTTTTTTGAGTATATCTAATAATTTTTAGAGTAAATCAGAATATTCTTTAGGGTTAGGGAAAAAGTCAAAATCAGTCAGAGAAAAACAAAATTAATTTTTTGTGGCAACCCTGTTTATGATACTGTTTATACAGTACAGTAAATTAATTTTATTTAATAAATTGAAAATTGAGTTTCTTCTTTTCTTCCCCCAAAAGGTATAAATATCTTTGCGGTGCAATGCCAGCGGGAATATTTTTAATGCAATGGTATGATCCACTAAATAAATTCATGTTACTGAAGCATTTCGAATGTATTTTGCCATCGCCATTGAATGTTTTTGAAATGATTATCACACCAGAAATGGATTATCCCATGGTGTGTGTATCAGTTAAGCAAGAGTATCAACAAAATAAATTGAAACTGGATTTAATTAATATGAATTCTGGCGCAAGCTGGTTTCATAGTGACGAACTCGAGGATGTCGATGGTTCAGGTAATTTTATTATTCTCTTTGTTTTAATGTTCCACATTATTATTTACAATAATATTTACAATAATAATATGAAGCAAAATTAACATTTTATACAATTTTTTCTTTTTTAGCAACGGTGATACCCAGAAGAGAAAATCTTCAAGTGATAAGTGTTACACAATTAGAAAAAGACGCAATTCTTGTTTGTTATGATAGTAAGTTGATAAAAATATTTTTTTTTTCATTTTTCGAAAATATTTTATTTCGTTTATTTTTTCAGATGTAATTAAAGTCGTAACGCTACAAGGTAAATTAAGAAATAGTAAGAAGCAAATGTCGGAACTTCAGTTTAATTTTCAAATTGAGTCTATCAGTAAGTGTTATTAGAATTTAGACTAAAGAAATTTTTTTTACTATTTATTTATTCGTCTAATTATTTGTCTTTTACAGTCTGCTTGCCTGATAGTGTTTTGGCATTTCACAAACATGGAATGCAAGGGAGAAGTTTGAAAAATGGAGAAGTGACGCAGGAAATAAGCGATCCGAGTCGAACTTACAGGCTACTTGGTTCTGACAAGTAATTTTCCATCTTCTTCCCAATTTTTCTTATTAATTGAAATTAAATGAATTAAAAGACAATTATTTTTTTCAGAGTTGTGATGTTGGAGAGCCATTTAGTCCACACGGGCACACTCTCAGAAACTGAAGGAGCTGATTTGTACATACTCGCTGGACACGAAGCCAGTTATTAGTTATACAAGTTATGGAAAACGAGAATTATTCAAATAGATAAAATGATTGAAGCTGCAGATAAATGCAATTAGCTATTATTTGCAAGTAAATGGATTTCGCATTCGAGGTAGACACTTTTTTTCTTTATTTAAATTGCGCTCTTTATTTCACAACGTGGACCGGTAGAAACACGCGATTATTAACTTTTTAATTGCATGAGACACAATATTCGAGCAGACTGTATTAAGTAGACTGTTTAATTATTCAAGTACCAGAATAAGTATTTATTAATTCCATTAAAGGAACATCATAAACACTGGTAGATCACGATGTAGATGACGCAATGATTTTAAAAAGTAGATTTCATGATCATGGAAGAATTTGATATTTTATACACAATAGACTGTAATCAAACGTTTTTTTCATTTATATGTAAAAAATCTGATTATTCGAGAATCTGTTTTTAAAACTAGTTAAGGAATATTTGCCACATTTTTTATAGTTAGCTTCATATGGAAATCAATTTTTAATTCATTTGTGAAATAATCATAAATAGACGAAGCGAATAGGAGTCGAGACACGCTGAATTTTCATGATCATTAAGAGGTCTTATTTGTGATTAAAAATTTATAACTTGTTTACTTAATTTGACGCAATGGTATTTAAATTTGTCAAAACAGAAACAACAAGTTTTTTTAAGTGCAGTGATATGTAACTTACTGTGTTATGTTCTTTGTTAAAAATAATTTTGATATTCATGTTTATTATCTACGTCAATGTTTTTAATTACTGAAAAAATTCACGACAAACGAAATTCGATTGAATATCGTTTTCTTAAATTTAATTATTGTTGAGCGATGTCGATTCGTGTAAAGTATTTTGAACCAAAGTTTATTCTTGAAAAATTCTAAATTTCTAATATTAAGATAAAGTATAATACTGTAGCTTTCTTGTAAATAAGAAAAAAAAGTATTACAATTTAAATTATAGAACAAATTTTTGTTTCCTAGTTGCTGAAAAAAGTACCACATCGGTATATAGTTAAAAAAACATTCCTTTTTAAAATTGCCTTCTATTGTACACGAGTGTTGGAGAAACAAGAAACAGTATATAAATTTTATGTGTAAAAATTGTGTATATTAAAGCTTTAAAAGATTTTACTTTAAACTGCGACTACATTTTAAACATTAAAAACAATCATAAAATTTCATTAGTAAAAAATTAAATCTAAGTGAAATTATTTAGAAAACGAGTATTGAAACTCATTTTCACCAAGTAAACACCAAACTAATCAATCAAATTTGTAAAAAATTTAGAATTTAAAACGTCTTCCTCTCTTGTTCTTTAAAAATTTTATTCTTCATTCAGAATAAAATACATACAATAGAATTTAATCTCTTTTCTCAGTCTTTTTCGCGAGAATTACAAAAAAAGCTTTCGCTTGAAAACAAAAATATATATCGCTGTCAATTATTAATTCATTTTAGAGATAATTTGATTTTTTATTAATTCTCAATGCTTTCTCCAGTGATTCCACACATAGCTTATATTTTTTAATCAAAATAATATCAGAGATTTGTTACCGGGCAGAAGAGGATTTTTTCTTCTATTTAAATCGATAGTTCAAAATCCAAATTATTATATGACAATACACAGATAAATAAATAAATATATTTTTATTTTTATTCGTAAAACAATTAACTTGGAACAAGAATTATACCATTACAATAATTGTGGTGTATCCACAAGTATTAGGCACTGAAGAAAAAATTTATATGATTCAAATAAACAATTAATTGAACATTTTTTTAAGGATATCAAATTTAGACAAAAAATGCATCAAAACGTTGCTTCGCAACACTTTTGATTCGTTTTTTGTCTCAACACAGAAAAACTGTGTGTCTATTATCAAATAAATATTAAGTTGAATCAAATGGATTTCAATTAAATCAAATGAATTTTAATTAAATCAAATAAGTTGTATTTGCAACAATATTTTTAGTATTTGAAGCAAATACCATTTAAGTGACTTATGGAAAAATTATTTGACACAAATAAATATTTATTTGAAGTGTTGGTTTTTTGAATGAAATAAATTTTCTTTTCAGTTGGCATTGGCAAAAATCATCAAGTGACAATGCCGAAAATCAGAGATAGATCTCTTCCATTTCTAATGTCAATAATAAAAATAGAAAAAAAAGACTCGAGAAGTAAAGAAACGTTCAAGTCACACGAATAAAATTATATCCACGATAAATTTATGAAACACGGTAAAAAAAAAGTTATTCTTAGAGGATCGCAATAAAAGTAATTATTCAATAAAATCTGTTTTGTTAAAAATAAATATTTTTGGTTAAAAAAAACCTTTTAGTACGTAAAAAACTTTTTAATCGCAATGTTAATTTATCATTTAGGCTTTTTTATGAAAAAATAGTTTCTTGTATTCGTTAACAGAAACAAATTAATTTATATTGCTTCTCTATCAACTTTTTAAGCATAAAACTGATGAATTTATCTTTCACAATTTTCTTGTTGATTAGCGAAATTCTACGAAGAGTTGATTCAACTTGACGTCTATTTTCAGCATTAGGTGATGGGTGAGATCTATCTTCTTTATCTGAATCACTTTCCATTTTAAAAAGAGGAAAGACAAAAAAATTTACAAAGACTTAAATCTAAAAACTTACACTACTATTTACAAAAACTATTTACAAATTTTAAAAAAGAAAAAAAATTGTGCGAAAATCTCTCTCGGTAGAAATTTTTGTTTCAATAGAATTTATTTTTATAAACTTGGTTCAAAAAAAATTTAATTTTTCTTAAATAGATGAACAATTTTTCTAGAATATAAAATAGTAGTTTTTAGATAATCGAAACAATTATTTTAAAAGTAACGTTGTTTACTTAAATTTGGAATTAGAATAAAAATATTTTTTTTTTAATTTTGATTTGAGAACAATATGATAATATTGTAACGGTAAACAATTTTATGATTTCATTGATCGAGACTAAAAAGTTCTGACTTAATTTTAAAAGGAGCAAAAAAAAATTTTAATTTTAATTTTACGAAATGGCATAACTAAGTGATGATGAAAATGATTTTTAATATGTTTTTAATATTATTTCCAAGAAACTTTAAAACTATCTTTTACAGTTAAAAAATTATTATGACTAATTTTAATGTCTCGAGTAGTGATTTCATAAATCTAACTTTAATCACTATAAGAAAGCAATTAAAAAAAATTTGTAAATCGAAATATTTTCGTAGAAAAAGTTATTATCTGAGCAGGATAACCATAATTTCTTTTTATGAGAATTTGGAACTAATTATTGAACCGTTTTTTAATTAGTTGATCCAAATTTTAATTTATTCAAATATTTACAAGTTTTATTGGAAAATTTTTTCTCTCTGAAAATCACTTATTCTTTTTAAAGATTAAATTATCATTTATTGTAAAATAATTCACTTAACTGAAAAATCCGAATTCTCTGTTTTAATATTTTAATAGAACGTATTAAATAGAAATTTTCGTTAGTGGTCTAGTACAATATTTGGATTTATCCTGCTAACGAATTTAAAAGAATGAAACAATATTTTGGAAGGTGAAAAGCCAGAAACAGAAAGAGAGAATATATATATATATATATACACATATAGATCTATATTTAATATTGCTTCTTGAAAATTGTTCATGTTGAAATTTTACATATAAATGTAAGACGAGGTAAAAATGAAAATTTTCTTCAATCAATAAAAAAAACCCGATAATCGAAGCACTAGTGGAAAGTAGTCTTGACAGATGGTCAAGCATTTTAGAAAAAACAAGTTTAAGAATCATATATATTTACGTTTAAGAGTTTCTAATTGCGTTTTGGTGTCTCTCGCAGGATATTTTATATATGAAAAAAAACATTAAAACCGTAAAAATACGAGCAAAAGCAAAAAAAAACACCAATCACGGAAAGAAAAGATTATAGAAAAAGTATTCTTCGTATTTAAATATCACGAGATAAAAAAATAGTAATATTCGCTTAGTTAGCGTCAATAAAATACAATATAGAAATTGTACATAATATCACGAATTATATATTTATTTACATGTGTAAACATTTTATGTAAATAGACGTTCATAATTAATAAATATTGAATCGTAAATCGTAATACTCATTCCCCTTTCACGATTTTTTTATTTTCGAGAAGAAATAATTAGACAAAACAGTTTTCTTTTCAATTTTCATTTTATTGTCATAAAAATGTTAAAAACTGTTGTTCGATTTTGTTTCTTGTAAAATTTAAGTACATATTTTAATTTTTCTCAAGAACTAATCTATTATTTTTCTCATGTCGAGAGGATTCACAGGAAGTTTTGCGTAATACTAAAGTGAGAATAAAAACATTTAATTGTTAGTTGAACTACTATTAAAATTTACATGTGAAAATAGTTACTGCAACGATAATATTAATAAAAATAATAATAATAATAATAATAATACTAATAATAATAATAATAATAATAATAATAATCAACATTGGAAGATCAATCTTTAATCAGACTTCAATCCTAAGTTATCAGTACTTTTTTTTCAAAAACAGTAAAACTTATTTCTACTTTTATATACAGATCGCATTAATTAATAGCTCATTTTGTAAAATATTTTCATTTTTTACTATACTTTTAAACATAGCATTGATATAGAATGGAGCGATGATAAAATATTTATGTCACTTTTTAAGGCACAAGATACGCTCTAAGAGTCGTAGAAATCTTTATATAAAATAACGCGAATACAATAGAATTTTTCTAAATATTTTTTTATACCTCACAATTAAAATTCTCAACAACTATGATTAATAAATAACGGATTTTTTGAGAAAAAAAACTTAAATACAACATAACATGCACATTAGGGTGTCCCAAAAAAATAAAAAGTTTTTTTTTATTGGGTCTCATCCCCTAAAATTCAAATTGTGTAAAAATAAGAACACAATATTTGGAAATAAAAAATTTTAATATTAACCCGTGGTTCAGAGCCTTTGAACCATAAAAACGCTAAAAATGTAGTGTTTTTTCATTTTTAACATAAATATAAATGTCAAAATATAATTAATAGGGTGTCATTGTAAAGATAATTAAATTACCTTTCGATCCATATGTCATAGTTTAAGATTCAATGAAAATTAAGTGTTACAGTCGATTAAAGATCAAATTTTATAAAAATTTTGATGATTTTTATTTTTAGACACATAAGTAACTTGTACTTTTTTTTACATTAAACAGTAAAAAATATTTAGGTTTTAATTTTTTTATTGAATCTAACATTACGAAAATTTTTAGCCCTTGTGGACCTCGATTTGATTGAATATGACAATTATACACTATATTTAGTGAACGAAACTATTTTTTTATTTTTTATCATTCCTTCAACATTTGCAGCAAAAATTGAAACAATAAATTTAGATATAACCACTAAACTTACTAAAATCAGTGATCAAGAAATACTGAAGTCGCTGATTTACAGTCCAATGTCAGTTTTTCAAATTTTAAAATGGCGGAGAACTTCATAAAAGTCGATCGAATTCGTCTCAAAATCGGGTAAGGGAATTTGAGACGAATTTAATCGACGATTAAATTACGGATTTTTGTAATGTTAGACTCTCAATAAAAAAATTAAAATCTAAATATTTTTTACTGTTTAATGTGAAAAAAGTACTAGTTACTTAAGTGTCTAAAAATCATCAAAATTTCCATGAAATTTGATCTTTAATCGAGTGTAACACTCTTAATTTTCATTGAATCTTATACTGTGACATATGGATCGAAAGGTAATTTAATTATCTTTACAATGACACCCTAATCATTATATTTTGACATTTATATTTATGTTAAAAATGAAAAAACACTAAATTTTTAGCGTTTTTATGGTTCAAAGGCTCTGAACCACGGGTTAATATTAAAAATTTTTATTTCCAAATATTGTGTTCTTATTTTTACACAAATTAAAAGATTTTTAGGGGATGAGACCCAATAAAAAAAAACTTTTTATTTTTTTGGGACACCCTAATGCACATGAATAGATAAAAATATTATAATTTCACAAAAATTCATAACAATGAAATATTTTCGTAATAATTAAAAAAGACTTCACATTTTTCATAATTAAAATCTTTTATATTCGTTCATTAATTAAAATTTATTCCGATTATGCAATTCATGTAATAATCGCATATCATTCTTAAAAACATTGAAATTACGTATCATTTCGACTTTGTAATTGACCTACCATTTTTTTAACCCATCCTGCATGACTTTGACCCGCAGAAACATCGTCAAAGTCTTCGATTTCTGACAGAGGAATATTATTACCTAATTTTTCTATTTCCGATTGTATTGGTGATTTTGTGATTAAATCTATCGATTTTTCTAAATCGGGTGGTTTGAATGTTTTCGGCCTAAGTTTCAAATGCTCCGGTTTCTGCATAACCACAGGTTTCAACTTGACATTGCATCCATTTTGCAGTGAATTAATGTCCGACCTCTTCTTCGCTGGTATTGGAGGAGCGACTTTCGATTTTATTGGCATTCTATTTATCGCTTCATCGAATTCGATGAGAGATGATCGAATTGTTAGTGTATCTTCACCGTCGCTGAATATTGCACTGTCACGAAAAGCATCTTCAACATCAACGTCAATATAATTTTCTATTGTTTCAAATGATCTTTCATAAAAACTATCCATCTCACTATCTTGTCTTTCGAATTTTTTGTATTGTTCTTGTTTGATTTCTGTTTTTTCATCTATTGTTTTACATTGATCAAAATCCTTGTCTTTCGTGGATTTGATTTTTTTCTCCTCGGTATCGGTAGAATCCTTTTTCTCTGCAAGATTTTGTTTAGAGGCGGCGAGTTCTAGTCGCTTGCTCTCGGAGAAGAGGGTTGTTGGATCGGCATAATCGGATTGAGCAATGCGAGCTCCCAAACTGGAACTTCCCTGTTTGTAGTAAAGCAAATGACTCCTTGAGACTCTTGCACCATTTGATGTGGGACTAACCATTTCCTCAACGTCTGATGAAGATTCTCGGGATGATTTGAATTTGTACTTTTTTTTCGATTTGCCGCCATTCATTGATCGATAGAACTTCGTTCTTTCCAATTCGTCACTGTACTCTAATGTTTCGCTACTAGCTGTAGATCTCAGACCTTGTAATCTACTTCCGGCTTTGGATAGAACATTTTTCAATGATATGGTTCCAGTTCCATTGGGCCTGAAAGAATTTAAAAGAAATAAATAAAATTTAAATTAAAATTATTATAATTAATATTTGGATACTATTTTTAGATTTGTGACACTAAAAACCAATTTTTTGACAATTTGCACTAATTTCAATTCACTAATAGTTGAAAATTTTAATAACATTCTTTGAAACGATTCAATTATTTTCATAAAAAATCAAATTTTTCACAGCAATTCAATTATTTAAAATTCAATTTTCATAAAACTTTTCCAAAAAATCAATTGTTTATAAAATATTTTATAAAATCCTTTGCAAGAATATTTTAAAAAATTTTTTTCATTATTTTAATAAATAATGACACTTATCGCAAGATTTAAATTATTTTAAATGCAATTTTAAATTTTTTCTTCGAAAAATGCAAATATTCTTAAAAACATTATTAAAATTGATGGGAAAATTCAATTATTTAAAATAAAATTTGGATAAAATTCTTCGCAAAAATTCAATTATTGAAAAAAAATTTAATAAAATTTTCCGCAGGAATTCAGTTGTTTTCACAAATATTATAATTTTTCACAGGAATTCAATTTATTATTCAGAAAATTTTTATAAAATTCGTTGCAAGAATTTAATTATTTTATATTATAAATAATACAATTCATCGCAAGATTTCAAATATTTTTGATACAATTTTTAATGAATTTCTCGAAAAATGCAATTATTTATAAAAATATTATTAAAATTGATCGAAAGAATTCAATTATTTAAAAAAAAATCTTGATAAAAATATTCGCAGACATTAAATTATTTTCATAAATAATAAAATTCTTCTCAAAAATTCGATTAGATCAATTATTTTTATAACTAATTAGTCAAAACGCGTCAACCGTGAATAAAATTTTTTTATAGTTTTGGAAAAGTCAAAACATTTATGAAAATCTGTAGTTCACAGCAAATCAAAAAAACACTTTTAACCGTTTTTCAAAATTTTAAATATTTATACCTTTTTTTATAATAAAAAATTTTTGCATTATTTAAGAAAAAAATTAATAACTCATTACTGTTTTGCTAGAAATTAATGGCAATTTTTTTGGTAGTTATTGAATATCCACTCTTTTAAATAAACTTAATTGTGAAAAAAAAGTTTGAAAAATTTTTAATTTTTAATAACAATTTTATAAACAATTAGTGTTTTTTACGCTTTAAAAATATTCAATTGTTCAATAAATTATTAATTTTTTTATTTAAATAATTGACTTCTCGTAGAACTTTCTAAAAAAAATTGATTTGAAAATGAATTTCAGTTAAAATTTTAGATAATCTTGAATATTAGAAGCGTTGTAATGTGAATTTTCGGAAATAATTAAATTTCAAAAGACTTTTAAATTGAAATTTCTGAAAATAAATTTAACAAAAAAAATAATTTAATTTTCTAAGAAATACAGTTGTAATTTTTAAAAATAGTTAAATATCAAAAAAGTTTTACATTGAAATCATTTAAAATATTATTTCCAATATAATTTCAATAAAATTTCTCGAAAGAATTTAATTATTTAAAAATATTTAAATAAAATTCCTCCCAAAAATTAAATTATTTTCAACACAGAATTTAAATTACATTCCTGGAAAGAGTTTAATTTATTTTGAAAAATTGAAAGATTTTCGAAAGATATCCATTGTTGTCAATTGAAATTGAATTAAATTGCTAGAATACAAAGATTATTAATATAGATTTTTCGTGTGAAAAAAAAGCTCACCTGTAAATTTTATGATCCGGATGCACATTGGTGATGGTAGGAGCGACGTGCAATTCAGAATAGGCATCAGTCATTGAGTCGTGAAGCGAGCAGAAGAAGTTGGTTGACGAAGTTGAGACAGAAGTAGGAAACTTGGCGATTCGTCCTCCCGTTTGACAAGTAGAAGCGTATCTTTCCATATCCTCCAAGTTGATCTCGGCTGGTTTATCAGAAGCGATTGTAAAAGGACGTTCGCTCATTGGTTTACCGTCACGCTGTAGAAATCGCGGTTTTGTTGGATGGAGACAAGACGTTGGACTGATTTGGAAACTACGGGGTAACGATCCGCTTTTTTGCGGCGAGACCGGTAAACCTTCACAAAGCTTCGTTAGCCAAACTGCCGGCCTCGTTGGACTGTCATTTCCTTCTTGATCTTTAACATCTTTCAAACTTTCCCAAACATTATGTAAATTATCATAGTTTTCAAAGCCTTTTGGTTCGACATTTTCCGTGACGACTGCCTCGTAATTACTGTTAGTTTCACTTTTCGTCGATTCAATGGTTTTTTCCTTTTGATTTTCCTCAACACTTGAAGTTGAATTTTCTCGTATTCGAAGTGCAGTTTTGATAATTTTACTCTCGGTGACGATACTCTGCCGCTTGAATGCTTCGAAAATGGCTCTTTTTTCCTGAATACGATTTGTCTTTTTTTGATCTTGATGTTTGTCCTCGGTGGATCGAAAATTATCGTAACGCAATCGAAGAGATGGACTAACACGCTGAGGCATGGAGGAGAGAGAATTCCAGACATTATTCGTGCGGACGAATCTTTGTTCACGTCGAGTGCAAGAGTTTCGCAAACGAGTATTTCGATTATTTGTGGAGTCTTGCGAGTAGTTGGTATTTTCGGTATCACTTTCATCGGAACTGTCGACGGATATACATTTGTTGAAGCGTTGTTGTCTCACATTCATGAGATTACTAGTTCTTTGCTTCTCGATAAGCTTTTGGAATTCTTCATTTTGCATGAGAATATGACCAACTATTTCTTCCACCGTTTGAGGTTGAGGTTGCTGATCATTTGTATCTTTGGTCTCGGAAATTGAGGAATTATTTTCAGAATTAATTGTCGAAGTGTCGTCTTCATTCGTGACAACAGTGCAATCGCTCTCTGCATTTCCAAATTCAGTGTCGACTCGATCTTCCTTTTGTTCCTCGTCGGACATGTTCAAACTAATGTAAGATTGAAAACCTGGTTCGGATTTCCTTCTCCAACTTGTGAAACGATCCTGAAACGATTCAATTGTTAGTTGAAAATATAATAATAAAAAGAAAATAAAAGAAAATTAGTCTAATTTTTACCTTGACTTTCGAGGCACGAGTATCGCACGATCTGTTGAGACTTTGTTCTCTGGATCCAGTTTCTTCAGTGTGGTTCGAGAGGGAGGACTAAAATTGATCAACTTATTATTATTCTGTAATTTTTCTTATTTTTATTTAGATTATTTTTTCAGTATTTCAATACTTACATTTTCATCCATTTTTCTTCCCTTCTTTAATTTTTGTCTAACACCAGTCTCAGATCTCCTCCTCTCCCTCTCTTGCTTCCGCTTCTCTAAATATTCTGGAGGTGATGAATATTGCTTCTTTGCTAAGACTTTGTCTACCGTGCTACAGTCTTCTGTAATTTAATAAAAAAATTTGTTAGTCCTGTTTTTAATTGAAAGAAATTGGGGAATTCTTTTTCCAGTACCTTCAGATTGCCTCTGCCCAAGTTGCAAGACCAACTGTCTCGCATGTGAAGGTATCACAGCATTATAATTCTCTAAAATTACGCTTTTTATCTGTAGAGTCCATTCTCTCTTTTGTTCTAAATTTCGCGCCTGTGAAAAAATAATAATTTTAGTTTCTACAATAATTAATCAAGGGAGAAAAAATTGCAAATTTTTATACGATTTTTACCTGTAATGTATACTGCAATCGCGGATTATCAAAAGGGATGACGTGAAAGCTGAAAGGTTCACCAGGAATACTTTCAATCAACATAAGATTTGAACACTGAAAAGAAATATAAAAACTGTTAAGAAAAATAATAAATATTAATAAGGAATAAAAAATAATAAATGAAAGAAAGAAATTGGAAAATGTACCATAATGTGAGTTTTGTAAACGAGTAGACCGTCTTCCTTCTTTTTGGTGAGGAGAAGCATTTTCTCGAATAAGAAAGCGTGCCTTGGAGCTTTAGCTCCTCTCATACGAAATCTCCCTTCCGCGACCAATTCACCACTCGTTGTTAAATCAGGACCTGTCCAGCCATACAATAGAGACTGTATTTCTTGAACTCGCACAGCGTGTTCGTGTTTCTTTTGCATAGCATTGATATGATCCGCAATACCGTTCATCGCCTCTAGTGCACCTTCAATTGCTTTGCTGCCTTCAGTCTGGTTTTCTTTGTCATAATAACCAGCACCATACTCTTTTGATAAATTCTGTAATTAATCAACAAAACAATACTGAAATTATTTTTCCATCCTGATAATTCAATTGTATAAAAAGTAGATAACTCCGATTGAAAATTCTCACATCAATTTCTATTCACAAATTTGTATAATAAATTTTTAATTAAAAATTTTTTAATTTAAATTACATTTAATTTTAAATAAAGTTTACAAAATTAAACGAGAGAGAGAGAGAGAGAGAGAGAGAGAGAACAAAAAGAATTGGGAAAAGTGGCAAAGAATTTAAAAGGAACGGGACATAATATTTTTCGAATTTACCTTTAGAAGTAGATGGTACTTTAAAATTCTTTGAACTGGTTTTAACAAATATGCTCCGAGGGGTAAAGCATGGTCCAGTGCCGCTTGTCGTTCTTTAAAAGCACTCGCTAATTCCTCTTGACTCATAAGTTTCGTTAATACTGAAACCGTCCTAAATTCCAAAAGACATAACGGAATGATGAATAAACAATAATATTATTTTTTTGAAAATCATAATAATAATTGAATTCTTTATTCTTTACGCAAAAAATAAAAAGAAATCTCACCTTGGATAATTTGTGCAATACTCGGTATAGACTTTAAATCCTGAATTGTGTTTAATAAAGGTATTTGCTACGCAAATTGGATCTAATCCACAATTTTCTATTTCGGTAAGAAATTGCCTGTTGATAAAAACAATAAAATTGATAATTAATAAAATTAATATTTAATAAAATTACTACTTAATAAATTATTAATGATTAAAAAAAACCTATACTTAATAAAATTAATACTTTTAAAAATCAAATTATAGAAATTGTAAAATTTTGCTGAATAATAATAAAAATCAGCGATGTAATGAATATAAATACCTATTAAATTCGAAAATATCTTCAATATTGCTAAATAAATCGTTAAGTTGCAAATGATGTACTAGAGAAGCTGGATCGTCTCGCCAAAATATAAGATATCCCTTTAAACAAAAATTTATTTGTTAATAATATCTCAAGATTATGAAGAGCTTCAGGGACAAATTTTTTTTAAATTGTAGGTCTCACGTGCGGACATAATATAAGAGTATTTTCAGTCCGATTCATAAAGTTTAACTTTATTTTTTTTGGATTTTTAATTTTTCAAAAAATCATTTTTGGCCCATAACTTTAAAAAATGTTAGGACACCTATAAATGTTTTTCCATAATTTTGTAGAGTTTTTTAGACGCATCTTTTGAACCCTAATTGAACATTTTTCGTCTATATTAACCGGAGATAAACTTTTAAAATCTAAAATTTTGGAAAATAAGACTTTCTTGAAAATTTTGTTGAAAAATGTAGAAGTAACTTTAAAATTATCGTTACCAACTTTTAGAGCATTAAAAAACGCTTCGATTGACCTATTTTTAAACCTAATTCGATAATAAATTTCGAAATTTATTGGTATTTTAAAAACCAAAAATTGTGGAAAATGACATTTTCTCAACTTTTTTGTTTGAAACTTTTTGTTTAACTATTAAACTATTATAACTATCTTGTAGGATATTTAAAAATACATTTGTTGTTTGAAATTTTATCGAACGATTTTCACGGTGAGAAAATTAAGTGACTTACTTGAATGACTTGTCGAAGGTGTTCAACATAAATAGCTTCAGTATCTACAATTTCAACGAGAACTCTTTCCACGGGATTCCGATGGGGATCACAATATCGAGGCCTGTGATGTAACAGGGGATTATTATTTATACTATTGGCAGCTTCAATTCGACAACTGGCTTCAGAAACTGTTACAACCACACCACTGTCCCCTGAGCCTAAAAAAGAAAATTTCTTTCAATTAATTGAAAAAAATCGAATCGTTTCGAGGTACACCACTTAGTAATAAACCATATTCTTTTTACTACTCTAACTGTAATTAATAGCCAAGAATCGGGTAATAATTAACAGCTAATGATTGAAATATAAAAACAGATTTGTCCATTATATCAAAAGTTATATTAGAAACTCAAAAACACTTTTAAACTTTTAAACTGTTAAACACTTTTATAGTGCAACTAAGACTGAGGAATTAAAATAAATTTACGATTTTCATTTCATTGTAAATATCACGAGGGTCGGGAACCTTTCTCAAAATACTATATCATTAATTTCAACTAAACTTTCTAATGAAAATAGTAAAAAAATGATAGTTTTCCTGTTAATTAAAGAATAATTAAAGAATCTTTGTCTTTAAATCTATACAATTATGGGTTTTTTTATCATATCAAAGAGGATTTTCCCTCTCGTTTACCTTGAGAACTGGCACAAGTGTCAGCGAGTGATTCGACAGAGGTCAAACAGGGATTAGCAGGACAGGTATTTTCCTGATTACTGCAGCCACTCGATGATGTACTGGAAGCAATGGAACTTCCGGATAATGGCCGACTTCCCGTTCTGCGATGTCTGCTGTAACGAAGTGCCGTCAAATCATTATTTTCACGATGATAGAGTGACTTGTCGTCGGAGACAGAGCGCTCCTTGAGTGTTGTCTGAGATTGAACAGTGTCATCATTCTTATCAATCTTCTTGGACGATGGTGCTTCTTGGTTCAACTGATTCGAGCCATCTAGGGGTTTATCAGACTCCATTTCGTTCGTAACTTCTTCCCAATTGGAGTTGTTGATCATGGATTCGGAAGAGCACAAAGGACCCAATATGGATTCACGATGAGATTGTGAGACCAAGCTGAGACGTTTTTGCAGGGCTGCTGGTATGTTGCAGGATGATGGCAGGACTACATGATTCGAGTAGCCATTCCCCCTTCGTGCAAGCTCGTCGAACATCCCAAGCAACTGAGGCACTAAGTCTGTCGAGGTACCTGAAATAAAAAGTATTTCTGCTTTATTTGGATGCTCATTTTTAAAACCAGCTCATTTATACATCATTCGAAAAAAATTTACTTTATGTCCCGTTTTAATAACTTGTTCTACATTTAGATGAATCTCATCTTTACTTCTTCGAAATACAAGATCCATTTAATCTTTAATTAATTCAAGGTTGCCACGAAAATTTTATTTTTTTCTCCTGACTTTTTCCTAACTGATTTTAACTTTTTCCCTGACCCTAAAGAATATTCTGATTCACTCGAAAAAATATTTGATACTCAAAAAAAATGTTCTATTACATTTATTTCCGATTTTATTCAAATGCAAAATTATTCGAAAACAACAGTAACTTCATTTTTAAATAAGTATTTAATTATTATTTTCCCATAGGAATTAAAATTCTTCAAAACATTCAAATTCAAACCTTTTTGAAATTCAACAACTTATAAGAATATTATGAGAAAAAATCGATCACTACGAGTCAAAGACTCGGAGTCATTGCTTTCTTCATGTTTTCTAATAATTAAAGGTGATCGAGTGATAAAATCTTTGATTATTTTATATTATAATATAAGAATATTGTTAGTGTAACTTTTTACAATTATTTTCATCAATTCAATACAATTATTTTCTAGAAATTTAAACTAAAATTCTTCTTTAAATCAATTATTTTTAATAATTTTTGAAAAACTTCTTTTTTGAAAATTGTTAAATCCATTTGTTTAAAATTCAATTTTAATTGAAATTTCAATTATTTGGAAATTCTTCAATTAAATATACAATAGAAAATAAAAACTTGAAAAAAATTTCGATTAAGATTTTTGAAAAAAATTAGTTCTGCATATAATTTTTAATTAAAAATATAAAAAATTCATATTTTCAAAGATTTTAATTTGAAACCTTTACAAAATTGAATTATTTCTAAAAATTGCAATTATTAGTAACTTCTCAAAAATTCAATTATTATCTAAAACTTTAACTGAAATTAATTCTTAAATCAATTTTTATTAGAAAATTCTACAAGAATTCAATTATTTAAATGCAAACATAGATAATTTATTAAATAATTATGAATATTTCTTAAAATTGAATTCTTATACATAATTTTATCAACAAATTTCAAATAATTGAATTCTTACGACGAATTTTAATAACATTTTTTAGAATAATTACATTTTTTGATAAATTCAATAAAAATCGTATCAAAAAAATTAAAATTGTTCAATAAGCTTTATAATTTAGGGAGCGTTCACAAATGATCTCACGCAATTTTTCGGGATTTTAGACCCCCCTGCCACGCAATATCATGCAATTTCACATGTAAACATACATTGTGTCACGTTTAGTAGAGACCCCCCCCAAAAAAAACGTGACATCATTTGTGAACGCTCCCGAGACGCTCCCTTATGAAAATAATTGAATCCCTATTAAAAATTATATTATTTATGAAGATAATTCAATTATTGCGAAGAAACTTTTTAAAAAATTTGTAAATAATCAAATTACTGAGGAATTTTTATTATTTACAAAAATAATTGAATTTTTGCGAAGAGTTTTGTTATTTATAAAAATAATTTAATTATTTAGAAGAATTTTATTAAAACTCTTGAAAATAATTGAATTTTTGCTAAGAATAAAATTTCATTATTTTAGAAAATAATTGAATTCCTGTGAAGAAGTTTATTAAAATTTTTAAAAATAATTGAATTATTCTGCAGAATTTTAATATTTTGAAATTTAATATTTTGAAATTTTACCATGAATTTTATTAAAATATTGTTAAAACTAATTGAATTTTATTATATTTTCGAAAATAATTGAATTCTTGTAAAGAATACTGTGTTATTTATTTAAAATTAAGTTGCAATGCAATCAGACGAATTGATTAAAAAAAGAAAAACCTAAAAATATCAAATATTTTAAGAAATATAACAAAAAAATTGTTTTGCAATAATAAAATGATAATTTTATGAATTTAGAACTCACACCCAAACCTTGTAGCTTTAACCATAACAGTCGATGACACACCGAGGGAAACGCGCTTTTAAAGTCAATGAAAACCGCGAAGACTGCCCTGCGTTTATGTCGAAGTTGAATCTGAATGGTGGAATGAAGGGAGAATAAGTTGTCTAGGCAACCTCTTCCTCTTCTGAATCCAGATTGAAACTCCGGAATCAAATTATTAACTTCAACCCAATTATTAAGTCTATTAGATAAAACTTGAAAAAAAATTTTAGCAATGCAATTCATAAGGGAGATTGGCCTATAGTTATTGACATCAGATAGTACACCTTTTTTATGCAACATGAAAATTTTTAATTTTCCCCAATTTTTAAATTTCATTAAATAATGTGTTTATAATTATAATATACTAAATAACAACTATTAAAATTTCTTGTTGATTAGTTTTAGAATAATGGAAAACAAAGACCGCATAAATTTATTGCTTAATTTAAAAAATATACATCGATAAATGTAAACCTAGCGCCTTTGCCCCACTCTCCCCTACGTTACCAATTTTTCAGACTTTTTAGACCCCCTCCCCTCCCCTCATTACCATTGCGTTAAATGCAATTTTATAGATTTTTGGCCCCAAATAAAAAAAAAAAATTTCTTATACTGTTCAACATTTTATCCAAAGATTAAAATTGATATTAAAAAATAAAAAATTGTTAAAGAAATTTTTCGAGAGTGAAAATTAAAAAAAATGAAATTAAATATAATCTATAATATATAGGGGAGACGCGGGAGACTGGGGCGAAAGGTTAAACTGTGAAAACAGTTAAAATTCATTATGTTTTGAACGGAAATAGTTAGAGCATTGCAATTTTAATTATAGGATGGTGTTATCACCCTAAATAAATGTCCGGAGTTATGTGACATTCTGTTCATTTTTGTGGTGTCCATATTTAAATTTTTTTTTCACCCTACTTTTGAAAATTTTTTCGTAAAAGAAAATATTAACTTTTAAGTATATTTTTTTAATTTATTCTCATCGCGATTTTTTTAGGTCCTTATTTGGGTCCCCTGAAGAGATACCTAAAGGTATTTGCTATTAAATATCTTTAGTCAGATCTATTGTATTTGTTGTTAAAGCCAAAAATGCACCCTGGGGCGAAAAGTTAAATAATGGGTGGGACGAAAAGTTAAATGTATGTTTAGATGTTGTTAAAAATATTTTTTACATTTTTCGTTTTTTTGGGTTTATTTGTTTAAAAATTATTTTTTTGGCATTGGGAAAGTACTCTGTCAAAAAACAAAACCGCTCTCGTTAAATAAACCAAAATTTTTTTTTTTTTGAAATTTTAGTTTATTAACTTTATAACTGTTCTAAATCTTTTGTTAAATAAACACAGATCTTTTATTAACTAAATTACTTGTTTACGTATACTTTAACTTATTTACTACTTAACACCTATTAGAAAATAGTTTTAGTAGGCTAAAAATATAGAATTTAACATTTAGCTCCAGCCATTTAACTTTTCGCCCCAACATGGGGCGAAAAGTTAAGGAACACAAAATTTTCAAAAAAGGACAAAACATGTATTTTATGCGAAAATATCAGAAACTTTTTTATTGAAAGTTGTAGAGGACAAGTTGCCCTACAATATTGATATATAAATATTTGCATCTAAGCGGATTATATTGTCTAAAAAAATAATTTATGCAAAATTTAACCTTTCGCCCCAGTCTCCCCTACCTATAATATTTATAATATAAATATATACAGTACGAAAACCTACCACGTCAGTCATATCCCATGAGTGGGAGTGAGACAGACTTATGCGATTCCCATACTTTCCTATGACTGACGGATAGCTTTTCTTACTGTATACAAAATATAAGTTAAATATGTGTAGGTACTTTTCATATTTAAAAGTAAGATTTAGACGATGAGAGCACTGAAAAAAATACATGAGACATTTTCAACTACATCCCCTTAGTAGAGTAAAAAGTAATAAAACGAACTACTTTTTTAGTTGGTCTGGCTACTTTTGATACTTATTTTAACTGTTTTATGTAGTTAAAAATTATTAATTAAATTAATGTAATTTTATAGTTAACTTTGTAACTGCAGGTATGTTACAGAAATGACTACAGAAAGTAGTAGATTCTACTACTTAAAGTAGTTCGATAGACTAATTTTGTAGTAGTTTTTACTTCTTCTAGGAGTTGAATTATTTTCCATGTAATTTATGTTATAGATTTTTATAGAAGATTATCAACTGTGAAAAGTTGTAAATGCAACTACTTTAAGTAGTAAAATTAACTACAGTTATCAGTTGAACGGTGTCTGGAATGCCTATAAGTATTAAGCAACTCATCGAAGCGGGCGAGCGTGGTTAGGTGGTTAGGTTATCGGTTTACGAATGTTAGGGTCGAGCGTTCAACTCCCGACGTTTAGAGATTTTTCTCCGTTAGGTATATAGACATTAAATAAATAAGGTATAGGTAAACAAAAGTGGGTAGGGGGAAATATAAAAAAATACAACTCGATAATATTTACAATAAATTATAAATAATTTTATTTTACCATTTTCAGTAGTTACTTTATTACTGAGTTATCTTAGTAACTTTAACTACATATCAGCAGTTAATTCTACTGCAAAACTGTCATTGGTTCCTATTTAACTAAGAAAAGTAGTTAATGCAACTGTATTATCACTTCATTCAACTACATATCTGATAATTAATATAAGTTCAAAATTATCTTTGGGGACTTATTGAACTAAGGAAAGTAGTTAAAAAGTAGTCAAATCTACTAAGAATTTCTTTCAGTGAGGATTTTGAAATGTATTTCACTCTGATTTTTATTTTTCCATTTTTATTAATGAGCTTATATAGGACGTCTTTTTGACCCCATGGAATAAATTTCATAGTCGCGACACTGACCGCACATATTTATTATGAACTACATTAAATGATATTCGATCAATGAACAGATGCACCGGAATCTCGGATGCGTCCGGTCTCTATTCTAAGTAGAACATTG